TGATATATACATGTGTACACACACACGTAATTTCAAGTACATACGTATACGTATATATGCACGTAAACTACCGTATAACAAATATACATACAAACACATGAACGTGTCCTACAAAGCAACGCTCTCGCCAAAGCGCCTGCCGCATTCTCGCGTCGCCAATGAGTATGAGTACTTCTCGCCTCTCTCTCCTGATCGACGGTGAGGTGCCCATTCGCCTCGCCCCGTTCGCCCCCTCCTCGTGGAGGGCCGTTCTGGCCCGAGACCGATCAATGCCAATCGGTTTCCTTTCTGGGCCAGCAACAATGGCTCCAAAACGGCCCCGTTTCGCAGACGAGAATAAGTTGGCCGATGCTCTCTTCCCCGTCGTCAAGCAGATCAGTTTCATTCAGTGCCCGACGAAGATGAAGTCCACGGCCCAGCCCGACAAGATTCGCAAGTACGCTGCCGTTGCGAGTACTAGGCTGCCGCCTTCTTCCGCACGAGGAAATTGCATATATATATAGGGAGAGAGAGAGAGAGAGAGAGAGAGAGAGAGAGAGAGAGAGAGAGAGAGAGAGAGAGAGAGAGAGAGAGAGAGAGAGAGAGAGAGAGAGAGAGAGAGAGAGAGAGAGAGAGAGAGAGAGAGAGAGAGAGAGAGAGAGAGAGAGAGAGAGAGAGAGAGAGAGAGAGAGAGAGAGAGAGAGAGAGAGAGAGAGAGAGAGAGAGAGAGAGAGAGAGAGAGAGAGAGAGAGAGAGAGAGAGAGAGAGAGAGAGAGAGAGAGAGAGAGAGAAAAAAAAAAAGAGAAAGGGAGGGAGGGAGGGAGACAGGGAGAGAGAGGAAGGGAGAAAGCAAGCGTCGTCGTCGTCGTCGTCCTCCGTCGTCGTCGTCCGGCATCCGTCGTCGTCGGGCGTCGTCGTCGGGCGCCGTCGTCGTCCGTCGTCCGTCGTCCGTCGTCCGTCGTCCGTCGTCGTCGTCGTCGTCGTCGTCGTCCGTCGTCCGTCGTCCGTCGTCCGTCGTCCGTCGTCGTCGTCGTCGTCGTCCGTCGTCGTCGCCGTCGTCGTCCGTCGTCCGTCGTCCGTCGTCCATAGTCCGTCGTCGTCGTCGTCGTCCGTCGTCGTCGTCGTCGTCGTGTCCTCGTCGTCGTCGTCGTCGGTCGTCGTCGTGTTCTCGTCGTCGTCGTCGTCGTCGTCGTCACCGTAGTCGTCGTCGCCGTCGTCGTCGTCGACGGCGTATCCACATCGAGTAGGGGCCCATTCAAGGGCCAGCGGAAAGCAATCGCGCCACTCTCGCCAGCCCTGAGCGCGCGCCCGCGCACGGTGCAGAATGCGCTGAAGACGGCGGCAGAGCGGAGACGGTTCCTCGCTTAGCAGCTCGAGGATAACGGAGAGGAACAGGGGGGGAGGAGGAAGAGGAGGAGTAGGAGAAGGAATAAGACGACGACGATGACGATGACGACGACGACGACGACGACGACGACAACGACGACAGGAGGAGACGACGACGACGATTTTTGTTGCATCTCCTCCACATGTCCACTGTTATCTTTTCCTGCCGTCTTCCTTCCTCGATTCTTGTCGTTCTCTCGTCCTTCCTCGACGCTCCGACCGAGCCCCCTCCTAAGGTTCGCATTATCCGACGACGAGCTGGAGGGCTGGTACACGGAGACGGGCAAGCGCATTCGCTGCCTGCTGCGCCACGTGGCGAAGTTGTCGAGGACATTGTTTTGAGGGCGAGGGGGAGAGCAAGAAAGGATGATGATGGGGAGGAGCGGGCGGGAAAGGTTAGTTGTAGAACACGGATGAGCATGATGTGGATCAGGCCAGGTGAACCGTGCCTAGACGGCACATTGGTTGCAGATCACATGCGTGCAGATCACATTGGTTGCAGATCACATGCATGCAGATCACATTGGTTGCAGATCACATGCATGATGTGGAGGAGCTGCAAAACGTAAAGATGGAGTAGCTGGGTGTCAATAATGATCCAGCCGACCTCCAGCCTGATTCAGGGCCATCGGTTCCGCGAAGATCACCGACGAGGGTGACGACGACGACGAGGAGGGCGACAACCAGCCAGAGCGCACCTTCCGCTGGGACGCGGAGGCGCCAGACTCCCCGCCGCCAGAGGTGGAGGCCACGGGCGTCGAGGAGACGTCGGAGTTCCACTACAAGTACGACCGCGAGATGAACATGGCTTACCGCGTGAAGGGCAACAACAACACTCCCGAATATTGCACGGCAATGTTTGAGAAAAGCGGCAGCCTCGAGACCGGCGAAATGTGGGCCACATGGCCAGACGGCGACAGGGTTGCGCCCCAAGTGTTGGTGATGGCGCACAGGAAGGCCGCCAACGAGAACTCTGGCAAAGGCAATGGCAACGAGACGGTCGCAGCTGGCAAAAGCGCCGGCAAAGGCACCGACAGCGACAAGGACAAGAGCAGCACGAAGGGCACCAGCAAGGGCACCAAGTCGAAGGGCACCGACAAGGGCAAGGGCAGCACCTCGAAGAGCACCGACAAGGGCAAGGGCAGCACCTCGAAGGGCGCCGACAAGGGCAAGGGCAGCACCTCGAAGGGCACCGACAAGGGCAAGGGCAATAAAGGCACCGACAAGGGCACCGACAAGGGCAAGGGCAAGGACTCGAACGGCACCGACGACGGGGGCGCTGAGCAGAAGGCCGAGCGCATGGGCATCAAGATGACGAATGAGGACAAGCAGGAGACCTGGTCCAGCCACCTCAGGTGGCAACGTCAGAAATATTTATCCTCTCCCTCCTCCTCTAGTATCCTCATCCCCCATCCTCCTCTTCCTCCTCCTCCTTCTCCTTCCTCCTCCTCCCCCTCCTCCTCTCACCTGTCCTTGTCGCGACCCTTCCCCCTCATGTTTTTGAAGGGGGATGGGGAAGGGGGGCGAGGGCGAAGAAGGAGGAGGGGGGGGGAATACGACGAGGGCAAGGAGGCGGAAGAGTGAAATCGAGGGTAGCAAGGAGGAAGGATGGCCGCCCAGGTGGGACTACCCGACGGAGGAGCGCATCGAGAGGCTGGTCGGCACCAAATTCAACGGCAAGCAGAAGTTGCAGATGAACACGAAGGACGGAATGAGAAGTAAGATATGAGGAGGACGATGATCGAGGGAGATCCGGAGGGAGGTAGGAGGCACCGAAACACGTGACAGGATTGGGGGGAGGAGGAGGAAGAGGAGGAGGAGGAGGAGGAAGAGGGAGGCGACGACGACGACGACGACGACGAGAACACGGCGACGATGGTGATCACGAGGACGAGAACGCACGTGAGAAAAGCGGCATCCTCAGGATTTCGACGACGACAAGGAGACGGGCGAGAGGACGGGCATGCAGCTGACGAGCGAGTTCGCCCAGAACCTCATCGACGGCACGATGACGCTCGAGGACGCCGAGAAGAAGAAGAACGAGATCAGGGAGCAGAAGGGCCGCAACGCGGGCAGGGGGCGGAAACGTGCTGCTGGCCCCGCAGGTCTGGTCTAAGTAAACACTTATTATTCCTCCTCCTCCTCCTCCTCATCCTCCTCCTCTTCCCCCTCTTCCCCCGATCCTGATCCTTCTCCTTCTCCTTCTCCTCGCTGCTGGTGCTACTGACCTTCGTCCTCGATCTTCAATCTCACCCGAAAAGCTGCTAGCTAGGGGGTGACCCCCTAGCAGCTTTTCGGATGAGATTGAAGAGGACGAAGGTTAGCAGCAACATCAGCAAAAAGGCCGCGGGGGGGGCCGAGAGGCAGGGGGGGGGAGAGAGTGCCGCCCAGGCCAGACAGAGAACGTCGACAAGGTCGACCAGACCGAGGACTCAGGCGTGCCGACCGTGCCGAGCCCGCCGAGCCCTGTGGGTGGCGATCCGAGCCCTTCGGCCCCTGCCGGCCCCAAGCAGAGCGAGCCGAGCCCTTCGGCCCCTGTGGGCCCCAAGCCGATCGAGCCGAGCCCTCCAGAACCGGGCTCCAAGACCCTCGAGCCCCAGCAGTTCCGCGCGCCCGCCACCCCGCAGGGCCGCGTCAGGCAGAGGAGCACGTCTGCCGATCTCGAGCGTCCAGCGGTCAGGTGCCGCACCGAGCTACCCGACATGCCCGAGTGGTAGAAGATAGATGTCGAGGGCAGCGGTCCGAACTAGAATAGGTAATATTCGACTGCGCAGCGCAGTCAAGAGCAAACGCGGGATGCGCGGGGAAGCGCGCCAGCGAGCTGCGTTTGAAGATAATGATCTTCCCTCCTCTCCTCCTGGCATCTTCCTGCTACTTGTTTGCAGACGGTCTGGCAAGATGGGTCTTGCTCTTTGCCCATCCTTCCCGAGGGCGAGCAAGGGGCGGGATGATAACTAGCGGCACGGAGGATAATGGAACGCTTCGCAACATGAGATGCACCCCATGGGCCCAATAAGAGAGTCACCGAAAGCGATAAGAGGCACGGATACATAGTCGCATGTACATTGTAATCGTCAGACTTTGGGGGCCGAACGGTCATTCACTCTCCCTGGGTGCGTGGCTGAAGTGGGATTCCGCGATGCAGATTGTTGTTGTTGTTGGTGTTGGTGTTGGTGTTGGTGTTGGTGTTCGTGTTGTTCTAGTTGTTGTTGTTGTTCGTTTTTTATTGTTGCTGTTGGTTTTGGTATTGGTGTTGCTCGTGTTGTTGTCGTTGGTGTTGTTGTTGTGTTGTTGTTTGTTGTTGTTGTTGTTGCTGTTGTTGTGTTGATGTTGCTTGCTTGCTTGCTTGCTTGCTTGTTTGTTTGTTTGTTTGCTTTGTTTGTTGTTTGTTTGTTTGTTTGTTTGTGTGTTTGGCGTCGCCCCACCCGCGCCCTGCCCCGCGACCAGCCCGCGACCCGCCCGCGACCCACCCCGCGCCCGCCCCCTCACTCTTGCAGGGTGCTACATAAGGGCTCGCGTTCCTTATCCCCGTCCCTCCTCCCCGCCTCCTCCGCCGCATTTTCTGGGCCAAGGATGTTTGTTGGACCGTTGATCTTGTGAGTGTTTCCGAGACCCTCGACCTGGGCGATGGCAGCATGGCCGCAGCGGACGCCGCCGCGGACCCGAGCTGCAAGCGCAGGCGCCTCTCTGCCAAGGCGGCGCCTCGTGTGGTTTCACACTGGCGCGAACCCGCCTGCCCCACCTTCGACATCGAGACGGACGAGCCTGGTGGCGCGCAGGTAGAGACGCAGACGCAGGTGGAGATTGCCGACCACATCGAGACCCAGGTGGAGGGCGTCTCCTTCTTCCATGCGCAGGCTCTTTACGGCGAGGGCGACCTTGGTGCTAGGGCAAACGGTGCTCAGCAATGGGATGACACGGGCGGATTCCAGGCCGCCATCGCAGCAGCTGGCGACACAGGGGAGCAGGAGGTCGACGACATGCAGAATGGCCAATTGGACGAGCACGCCATCCCGACCGAGCAGGGAGAGCCAGCTGACAAACAGGAGAAGGACTGGGAGATCGACGGGGGGAAGCAGACGGCCGAGGAGGTTTGGGGGGATGACTGGACGAGCGACGGCGAGAAGCCAGACGAGAAGGACGACTTGCCGCCTCACCCTGAGGCTTGCGGGTCTGGAGACGTACCTCCAGGCGGGGCGCCAAGGCCGCAGCCCGAGACCTTGCCTTTCGGCGAGGAGCCCGAGACGCAGGCGTACAGCGGGCTCTTCGTGCAACCATCTGTCGACCCCCCCGCCGCTGAGAGAAGCGCGCCCTCCGCTGAGAGCAGCGCGCCCGCCAGCAGCGCGCCCGCCGCTGACAGGGGCGCGCCCGAGCGGGAGTCCCTTCCAGATCGCCTCCCAGATGGTTGGCCGTTGGGCGCCGATAATCGCTGGGGCCCGCCGCCCGAGAGCCGTGAGGTCATGCCTAACACGTCCAGCGAGGAGATGCCTGAGCAACCTACCGACGGCGGTGAACTCGGCGTGGACGAGGCGGGCGAAGCCGTGGGGGAGGGCGATGCGACGGCGGTCGCGCAAGAGGAGGCCCGAGACGAGACGGCGAGGCGGGAGTCGCAGAGCCTCGAGGCCGCGCAGCGTCCAGCAGGCATGAAGACCGATGCGATGTTCAGCGCGTCGCTCAAGGACGAGTCCAAAGGCGACGAGCCCGTCATGGAGAAGTCCGCGTTCGAGGAGGATACCGTTCTCCTTCTCATTCTTCCCCCCTCCTACTGATAAATTTCAAATTCCCACCCCGGGAGCTCATGGGGAAGTTCATGACGTTGAATGGCCCGACTGACGCAGATGGGCCGCCAGACACGGATGGCGCGAAGGGCGTCGAGGACGATTCGGAGCTCATGAACTGCGCGCTCAACGGGTTCAATTTCTTGGCGAGGAGCCCGATGGGCTGGCGCTTCCAGAGGTGGCTCAACGGGAACACTGACAAGTGGGAGGAGTTCGGACAGCTGAGCGCCTCTGGTAAGACGGCGTTCAAGATGCAGCGGGCCGAAGACTTGTACGACGAGCACATGAAGCGCAATACGAAGGTGGAGAATATGAAGCAACGAACCATCAAGAGAGGACGCATGCTGAACATCGACCAGATCATCAAGGCTCAGGGAGGACATACATCAGCATCCGCTGTGGCGGGCGCGTATGCCATTGCCGAGTACGCCATGAAGAAAGCTGCTGTCGAACCTGGCTGGGTTGAGGTGGACCCATCCAGCCGTCGCATGACCTTCCGCATGATCGGGAGGGGGACAGAGCAGGAGCATTCGAAAACGCGGTCGATTTCCGAACAGGACGGCGCCGATGCTGGGCCAGCTGCCCCTTCGACAGCCGCTTCCAGCTCTGTCTGCGCGCCTGCCCACAGGGGCGGCCGCGTCGCAACAGAAACGCCTGACAGAGAGGCGCGGGCTCCAGACGGCTCCGCCGAGGCGCTTGGCGAGAAGCCGCCTGGGGATGGCGCCAGCGGAGGTGGTCTTTCGACTGACGGCAGTGGCGAGGGGAAGGGCAGCGGCAAGGACGACTTGGGCAAGGGCAGCACGAAGGGCACCGAGGAGGGCAAGGGCAGCACGGCGGGCACCGACAAGGGCAAGGGCAGCACGAAGGGCACCGACAAGGGCACCTCGAAGGGCACCGAGAAGGGCAATTGCACCACGGGCACCGACAAGAGCAAGGGCGGCTCCCCGAACAAGGATAAGGGCAAGGGCAAGAGCACCAGGAAGTCGACCTCGAAGAGTGCTGGTAAGAGAAAGGGGGCTGGCACCAGATCGAGTCGCGGCACGACGGGCGCCGACTCGGCGAAGAACGACAGCGCAAAGTACGCAGAGGAGACCGCTCAGCTCTACAACAAGGCGACGCTGCAGGCTAAGTCCCTGATTGACAAGATCACGATCAAGAAGGAGCCCGACTGGACGTGGGCTAACAACGATGATTTCGCAGGCCCGCTCCAGTCTAAGCTCCTGGAGTGCGAGAGAAATGCTAACTCGGACGAGGCCTTCATGGAGCTCCTCGCCTGGGGCGCGAAGTCAGTGAAGGAGACGTGCGGCGATGAGGCCGCCTACGAGATGTTCGCCAAGGCCGAGCGCCGCTGGGATGAGGTCAACGAGCTGTGGAGTGCCTGCGACGCTCTGCACGGCCTCAGGGCCCAGCGTTAGTCGCTGAGGACCTCCTGCGCCACTAGCTCGAGCTAGTTCCAGCGCTGCTAGCGTGCAGCGAGCGTTTCAAACCAGCCACATCCCCCTCCTCCTCCACCCACCACTGCCTACCCCCGTCCATTCCTATCCTGCCCCTCCTCATCCTCATACTGATCCTCTTCCTCAGTAGACCCCTCCGCCAAGTCTACTTCGTCCTCACTTCTGTCATTCACACCCGTTCCTCCGCATCCTTCTCAGCGCGTTTCGCTTCGTCTTCCAGCTCATCCCACTTCTTGTGCTGTTCGCCGCCCTTCTCTTCCTCACCATCCTTTCACTGTCTTCATACTTGTCATATTTCCCTTATTCCTCCTCCCCCTCCCTATCCTTTTGTGGCTTGCTGTGCTTCGGCGGTGGTCAATCAGGGCTTCGACTGCGAACGGCCGATCTGCACTAATGCCATCGCAAGGTCAGTCCGAGTTGATCTCGGGCATCGGGGTGCAAATTTCTAGATCAGGCGGCCAATTCCTACTAATATCATGTCGTTTGGGTCCAGTGACACTTGAAAATTAGAGAGTGTCTCTGTGTCGGTTCGGTCGATTGGTCGCCTTTGCTCGACGTTTTAATTTGCAGGAGGGGCCTGAAAATCTAGTTGTAGTTGCGGTCAATGTGGGGATGCTCCTACACAGCGTGGGTTGCAACTGTGCCGACCTTGGGGAAGGTCGACAATCGCTAGGGGCGCCAGTTTAAATTGTGGCATCCACGTGATGCCGCGGCAGGGACACTGGACATGATCGAGTGGCTGGAGGTGCCCTCGAACTGCCAAACATGTGCCTTCAGGGCCGCTGCGCGAGCATGAGTGCTCTCCCAAATTGGTTTGAGGCTGCGCCGAGCCCCCCTGGAAGCTCATAATGTCTTCTGGAGGCACTCAGGCGGGCCTCCAAGTGGCCTCCAGGGGAATTCCGGTGGGCCCCCAAGTGGCCTCCAGGCGAACTCCGGTGGGCACCCAAGGTGCCTCCAAGGGAACTCCGGTGGGCCTTCAGGGAACTCGGGTGACCTCCAGGGGCCGCTGAGTTTCCGCTGAGTTTCCGCTGATGTTCCGCTGAAGGTCCGCTGAAGTAGGGCTCCCGCTCGATGCATCCTCACAATTCTGGCCGCTGATCTTCCGCTGAGTTTCCGCTGAGTTTCCGCTGATTTTCCGCTGATCTCCGCTGAGGCCATTGTGAGGGATCCCATGTGTCTCTCTGGAGGCTCTGGAGGCCCTGTTGGCTACCTGGATGTGTCTCGGGCGCTCCCATTGAGGTTCCATGGGGGCCCCCTGGAAACTTTAGAAGCCCACTAGTGCCCCAGTGAAGGCTCAAGAGGCTTTGTGGAGACACCCTGGCAGCCATATGGAGACCACTCTGGAGGCTGGGGCGCCTTCAGTATCTCACAAATCGAACTCAACGTAGACTCCGATTGCCAATTCGGCGAAAAGGAACAACCCTCAAATCCCCGTTAAAAAGGAAAAACGGTTTGGGAGAAATTGCATTGAATGGTTTGCTCGGCGGTGGGCGGCAGAGCTAATGAGGATCCAACGCTACGTCTTCTTAGCAATAGCTCTGCGGCTCAAGTCATGGCCCGTAGGCGCAGTTGGGAGTCTGCTTCTGGACCCCGTCATTGGGAAAACGATGCAGTAGACACAGATGCCCGCAACAGAATCGATCAGCAAGATGCCCACGCAGCGCTGCTCGAAAAAGAGTTGTTGACTCTGTGCACAAGAGGAACAATTTCGTCGAAAGCAGTATGCGTGCTATGCCACCACGCTGGTCTAGCAGGGGCACGAGGCGAGCTGTTGCGGAAGATGGCGTTGGATCCAGAGTCGCAGTCGGGTAAGTTCCAGGGCACTTGGAGAAAGTACTGCCAGTGTCCAGCCATGCAGAGCCCGAGTCCATAAATATTCCCATGTTCGTGAAGAATATGCGCCAGGCGGTGCTTATGTTTGTTCCGCTTGCGTTTCAGTGTCAGTGGCCAAGCCACGCATCTACTAGGTGGAGGGATTGTGGGTATGAGGTGGCAGAGAGGGCAGGGGAGGACACACTGGTCGGGGAGCATGCAGTACGTTGCTTGCAGTACTTACTCACGCGCAAGTGTGTTTTTGCAGTCGGCCTGCTGGTAGTGCACGTTGTAAGCTTTACTCTCATGTGCCTCACGGCACGGGTCGGGTAGTTGAGTGCGCACGTTGAAAGCCATCTCTCAGAGCAAGTCCATCTTGATCGCGCCTCTCCACAAATGCCTGGAGAACGAGTTGGTTGCCAACGGCCCTGCAGACATGCAAGACAACGTAGACATGGCAACATGGCAAGACGCCTTCGAGGAGCACCCCCTCAGGAACATAGCTGGCGACAACAGGCCAGTGTACCCAATCGCTCTCTATTGCGATGGCGTGCGATACACTCGGTCAACCCAAGTTGGGAAAAAAGTGATTCTCTCATTAATATTACGTGTTATAACCTCCTCACGGGGAGGAGAAATTTAACAACATGTGTCTCGAAACGCGAGCTGTGCAAGTGCGGGTGCAAAAATTGGTGTTCGGTTTACCCTTATCATGGAGTATACCCGCTGGAGTCTAGAGCATGCGGCCCAGGGTCAAAGTCCAGTCGTGGACTTTCCTGGCAACCCACTGCCCCCAGGCCCAGCCCCGCAGGCTAGATAACTATTAGTTGAAATTAAGGGGGATTGGATGGAGCATTGCACGGCGTTTGGCTTTAGTACTTGGCAAGCTCACAATAGGCCGTGCCCGTTTTGCTGTTGCAAAAAAACCTTGTCTATTCAATTCTGTCGATGCACCGCTTGCCCCCATGATCAATCGCATTCTCGTGTTTACTTGGAGCCGTCTTATTTGGCAGCAGGGGAGGGCAAGAACGCTGCTGATCTCATGGCCAGGTTGCTCGGGGACTGTCGGGCAGGAGGTTGGGACCTCTCTGAAGTCACTCTAGAAGGGCACGAGTGGGGCGACCCTTTGCCTTACGACGACGAGTGCGCTCTCTGCGAGATCGAGGTTCTCGCGGATACTGAGAATGCGCGGTGGCAAGTGGTGAATGAGGGGGGCTTGCATTTCGACGAGAGGAAAAAAACCAGTGGGCAAAATTCTACGATCACCCGTTGCTGCTTTGGGTTTGAGAGCGGGAGATCGATTAGACCCTTGCCCCGACCTCATGGACATTGACGATTTTGAAACCCAAGCGTTACCGTTTCGCGTTTGGTTTTGGAGAGAAGCATATGGTGAGAACAATAGGAGGCTGACGAGTGTCATTAGACGCAACCCTCTGTTTTCTTCGACGCTGGGGATAACGCCACAAAATATGATGATCGATCTGCTGCACGCGTTTCATTTGGGGGTTGTCCAACAGTATGTGGCACACGTTGTATGGGCTTGCTTGACTGAGAACATTTTCGAG